GAAGGCTAGTGGTTCAAACCCAGCAGCCACTCCCCGGAAGGAAGGTTGGGCAATCTACTTCCGTACTGATACTGCCTCGGAAATCCAAGGAGGGGTCACTATGAGTCAGATCTGACACCATGGCAGTGGGTTTGGTTTGGTTTTGGTTTAGAAAACAAACAGTTGTTCACTCAAAGATGGCGGCTGACCACACTTTGACTGTGTGTTGCTTTCCAGAATCCTGCCAGTAATCCAATCTTCCACATCAGGCTCTTGAAACTTTCAGGAGGAAAGATTGTGGCAGGACTTTGGGAGAGCAACATTATTGGAACAAAAGAATGGGTCCAAGTAATTGGCATCATCCTCCCTTATTTTATCAAGCTGTGGATCTGTTGTATAGACATAGGTAGCCACTTTGATAAAGCCGTGTCAAATGGCACAAAATATGGAAGCATCCATCCACTTCTGTGTATCCTATAGATACACTTACACAAGTATATAAAGATATGTATATAAGGATGATTACTGAAATGGTTGTACTGATGAAGGGAAAAAAACAGAACTAATATTCATCTCTAGGGGGTTACCATGAATCAGAATCAACTCAGTAGAAGCAAGGTTTGTTGGTTGGTAGATAAGCCCTAACCCTTGTCATCAAGTCATTTTCAACTCATAGCAGCACAACAGGACAGACTAGAACTTCTCCCCATGGGGTTCCCAAGGCTTTGAATCTTTATGGAAGCAGACTGCCTTATCTTTCTTCCATAGAGCGGCTGGTGGATTCAAACTGCCAACCTTTTGGTTAGTAGCCAAATGCTTTAACCACTACACCACCAGAGCTCTTAGGTAGGTAAGGTGCTATGTGATAATTGGAGCTGTTTGTCAACTTGGCTGGACCACAATTCTGTGTGGTTTGAGCTGTTGTGGTGTGGTTGTTCCCATGATGGGATCAGATGACTATGTTCTGAGTGGCCAATCTGTTGAAGGGGAGAGTCCCTAGGGGTGTGGCCTGCTTCCAGTATATCCAAGGACATCCTGGGAAGAGAG